AGACAGAAGAGCATTGTATATTTTATATTTTTTCCTTCAATTGAATAGATAAGAGTAATAACAGTTTAAAAAAAAAAGGCAAAATTCCATCATATTTTACGTCTCATTCTAATAAAGCAGAACCAAAAAAAAAAAACAAACAAACAAAAAAGAGAAATTGAAATAAACCTTTTTGTGGTGGTCAGTTAAATTTGAATGGAATGGAAAAGCCTATATTTAACGGATTCACTTGTGGTTATGCGTCTTGAAGTCCATTCGTAAACCGGTTTGTGGTATGGAAATTCCAAAACTTTTATGTTAACAATATAAGTGTGAGAGAATAAAAAATAGCATTGTGCCATTTGGAATGGGAATTCCAAATGTCATTAATATAATTAAATGAAAGATGTTCAAATGTTGCAACATTGGTCATTCGGGAACCTACTGTGCTATCGACATCTCTGTGTTTTTTTTATAAAGCGATTAATTGAAATTAAAACAAGTATAAAAGCGGTTAGTTCGGCCGGGTCAAACTTTGAATACCCTCCACAATTTGGAACTTATTTGGCAATTCTCAAAAACAATAAAACCCGTTAAAAATTCTGTTAAAATCTTAAAAATGCCGAATGTAGTTTTTATATTAGGGTCTAGCCGACGGCATGGACCTTCATAGGTAACTTTTTTCATAAGCCAATACAATATTCAAATGCGAAACTTCAAAAAATCGATGAATAATGTAGCTAAAATACCGAATTTCGGAAGGTACCGCTATACGGGGCTATGCGAAGACGTGGACCTGCACAGACAATCTCCTGTTATAGGCTGTAGTATCCATTACGAACATCAAATATCAAATTTGAAAGAATTCCGGTGAATAATGTCGCTAAAATCAACAAAGTACCGAATATAGAGAGGAACCGTTATATTGGGGCTATACGAAGACGTGGACCTGCACAGATAATTTTCTGTCTTAGGCTGTAGTATCCATTTCGAACTTCAAACACCCAATTTGAAACAATTCCGATAGACGGGCGAACATCGCTAAATCAACATTGAATTTTATGCTGATCAAGAATATATATACTTTGAAGGTATAAAATAACTTTTGGTAATGTTATTTTATATTTATAAATAAATGTTATTGATTTGAATGTTTATCTTTGTTTTAACGTTATCACGTGCTATTCTTTTTATCAGTTTATTTTCCTGGAAGTGATTTTGCTTAATGATTGGGTTCTGTCTTGTAAGTTGAAAAACACTTATTCTTATCTTTTTTATTGTTTCTTATCGGACGTTCCTTGAAGAGCTTTTTAAATATGTAATAAGTAATTTGACATTACCGACATTGAAAATCAATGTACATATATAAATATACATACCTAAACATAATTTGCACGAAAACATAAAAAGGGACCCTTTCAAAATAAGGGCGTTAGCACTGACTATAATAAACTTTTTTTCTCTTTTCCCCGTCGGTGGACGAGCTACTTGATATGAAACCTTTATTATAATATGCAGATATTCCAACACGCATTGAGTCCCAGCCCATGGTAGTGGGGAATGAATTTAAAAGAAAACTCCTACGGAGATGGGGATTATGAAGGACCAGAAATGTGATATCATGGGGATATCATTAAAAAAATAGTTAAAACCTGTAAATGTTGTCACTAAATACTTTGCAAACATTTATGATACCTAAAAGTATGCTTCACATCTCTAAGAGAAGTAGTCTAGAACACGCTAATCTAAATAAACTATTAAAAATAAATTCCACATGATTTTGGAGTCATATGTGAAATGAACTTTTCTCAAATTATCTGCAACAATATTAATATACAGGGTGAGATGAAAAACTGCAATCAACTTCAGACTGCTATCATTTCTACGCCACTCCGACAACTGTTAAAATTATTCCAGTTACAGCTCATTATATTGTTTACAAGCGTACAAAAGTATTTTGGTGAGATTTTTCCAGAAAAAAAGTTATTCAAGTGTGATAGTGTGCTTTCTTTATATTTGGCTGGAAAACCACAAGTGGCTATCGTTAGAGCACTCCAGCATTTAAATGTGAATAAATCTTTTGAGTCTCGTAGCATCGCTCGTTACCGTGATGTTGGTAACGTAGCCCGACATCAAGGAATTGGACGGAAGAAAACAGCAACAACAGCAGAAATTGTTCGAAAAGTAAAGAAGCGACTCGATCGAAACCCGCGTCGCAGTGGCCGAAAAATGGCTCAGGAGCTGAACATATCGCAACTATTGAAAAATGAGCTCGGGATAATAATTGAAATTCCAAAAAGTGCAAGGACAACAGAAGGAAAATTAGACTCAAAAAAAGCTAAAGAGTTGCTTCGCTTGGCCGAATGTTGTGAACTGCCGAATTTGGTATTCTCCGATGAGAAAACATTCGTTGTCCAGCAGTTTGTAAACAAATGATATGATCGTGTTTACTTGCCAAAGAGGTCAGCCAAAAATGTGCACCTTCGGTTGGCCACCGGAACTCAAGCGCCGGCCATGGTGATGGTGTGGGCCGCCATAACATCGCTTCGCCGCGTGGGCCAAAATACCGCAGAGCAACATTCGGACGGCGTGTTTCATTGGCCAAAGGTGATATTTGAACAAATCTAAACTTATTCTAAAACTTGATGATACATCCGACATTTTTTGCTTTAATTCAAAAAAATTTAAAAAAAAAAAAATAAAATAAAAATTATGGCGTTTGACTTTGTTGCAGTTTTTTATCTAACCTTGTACTTTTAAAGAAATATATATTTATATAATATAAAGTTATTTTTTAAGTTTGAAAAAAAAAATTGGAAGCTCCTTAAAGTATGCTATAAAATATGAAAAAATCACTTTATATAGAATTAATGCGTAATCGGATCTTTAATCTGTAAAAAGCTTGGTGTTTACTTTTCTAGACCAGAAATACAAAATCCATTATAAAACTATTATTTGATCGTTCACTGATCCAGACAATCTCATTTGTATTGTCTGACCTTTGTCTTAGATCACTTAATATTCAAACGTTTTGTTTTCTTATGTTGCTCGGCATGTGGACTATGGAATTTATTTAACCTACTGACTGATTGAAAATACAAATTGCCGCTTGACGTCATGTGTCGGTTCAGGTGTTATGAAAGTTATGCTGTGCTATAAAACATGAAAAAATCAATAGACTCGGGTAGTTCTCAACGTTATTTAAATAACATTTTCCTGCTGCAGATGAACTATAAGACTAAAGAGAAACGTAACGACTATTCTACATCTCAAGCAACTGAGTATTGCCACAGATAATTTAATTTAGTACACAAGACTTTCTGAATGTGGAGAAACTAAAATCCGAGGAAAAATATTTATCTAACAGTATTCCTATTATCCTCAGGTCCATCCAATTCACGAGGGCTTGCCGATGTTCTATATATTGCTACCGAACTTTTATCGAATGAAAACGTGTATCAATAAACAAATAGAGACAGAAGACTGGAGCGAAATTCCCTGAATCAATTTTCTTACAGCTCTCTCCCGAGAGAAAGTAACATTTGCAAAATTGTCCATTTTTTTACCATGCCGTCTTTATTCCGATAGCAACAAGACGATCTAACAGAATTCTGACACAGGTTCACTCAACCGAAGCTGTGAAAAGAATTAGTTTAAACCAAAACTCCTCTATTGTTGGTCAAGAAGTCATCAGTCGAAGCCCAAGAAACCTCGAGGCCTCATTTTACAAAAAATATCAAGATGAGACCTTAAACTTTTTTCATAAAGCCTCAGAAAACAACAATTACTAAGTCATTTTAATAGAAAGAAAACAGATAAGGATTAACAAGGAGATCTAAGCTATCAAGTCAAGTGCAAGAGAGCCACTCTTGAATGAAAAAAAAAAAAAACACTCCTTGAAACAAGTGGACTCATTAGGCTCTGTTGCGTTCCACGACAATATAGTAGTGAATGAAGTGGCTGAAGAATTAGCTCGAGGCGGATCACAGTCGATTGATCTACCGATTTATGAAAATGCTTGAAAAAATCTTTTATCAAAGAAGATGGCACTTGGAAACAGGTTGCAGAGTATCTAGGGCGATAATGCCGGTCATTTGGAGGAGAAGAACAAGCTCCCTTATATCACTTAGTGGAATCGTTGTAGGCATACTAACCGATCACTGCAGTATCAGGTATTTGAAGTCAAGATGGGACAATAGTATTCCAGACTATGTAAAGATGAAGAAAAGATTGATACGATTGAACATCTTCTTTGCAGAAGTCTCATTTTATCAAACAAGATACATAGGCCATTCGGAAGGTGGAAGATAGAATCTCTAACGCTCTTCTCAGACATGGAGCCCATCATAATTTACACCTTTGGCAAAGGCATTCCCTGGCTAGGCAGACAACCATGCTAACTGTACTTCTCTCTATCAATATTTTCTTCACCTTTCCGCTTCCATATCTCCTCCAACCCCAACAACTTTTTTCTTTCCTAGGATGAACACAATAAACCAAAGGTATCTGTATCCTTAGACAAAACAAACTGTACCAAAGAAATTCAAAAGACTCCTATACAAAGACGGGCCGATTAAAATATGTAGTTGGAATTACTGTGTATATTTCATCCAAATCAGAGGAGACAGCTGAGTCAACCCTGAATCTGTTACTGTTAGCCAAACATCCATTAATAAGGGGGATGGCAAATCGAGAGAACAGTGAAATGACTGTTATTTCCACACAAACGAATTTTGTCAGCATTTTTGCAGAAGCCCCAGATTGTTAGGCTGATTTTTCTAAATCAAGCTAATTCAAAATATTGACTATTGCCCGATTCTAGCAGAAATTTTGACTTAAATTGTAATTCACTTAAAACCCTTGGGTATTTGCAAGTCTTTTCTCTTAAAAGAAACTCCAATTCATTAACATTTTCTTAATTTTTAAATTTGTCCGATTAGAAGCTAGCCACTGAAATTTGTATCACCCTATTCCATATAACAATGGTCCTCAAATTTTCCTCGACACCATATCCAACTTACCATCCTCAGCTTGTTGTGGCGCCAGACACATACTGCCAAAATCACCGCTACCAATGCCCTGTGGTGATTTCAAATTATTTGGATTATTTCGATGCTGCTGCTGCGGCTGTTGTAGCTCAATGAGAGCTTTGCTGTTGTTATTGTGAAATTGTTGTTGATGCTGTTGTTGCAGTTGTTTTGAATACTGTTTCGACTGCAGCTGTTGTATTTGTTGTTGCTGTTCGGCATATAAAGAATTTACATGATTACATTTATCATCACCATCCGAATTACCATCGTATTGATTTTCACAGATATTTACTTGTTGTTGTTGGCCCGCAATACGCTGTGGACGCCGGCGACTGGCACTGAATACGCCACCTTCATCCGTTACGGTTATGTGGAAATTTTGCTGATAACCCAAGCGGGCATCGTACGATGTACTCGAATACGATAGATGTTTGCCACCACCGCTGGCCCCTGAGAAACCAGGTCCGGCCGTTATATCAATGGCCGATGGTTGCAGTGCAGAATTCAGGACCGTGGTGGGTGGCCTCAGCGTGAGATTAACCGAAGTATAACTTTTTTGCGAGTTACCCGAATTTGTGGGTGATGACACCACTGACGACGACGAGTTGAACGCTGTTGTGGTGGTTGGAGTTAGCGGAGCTGTTGTACCGCCGGGTGTAGTGGCAAAAGTTGTCGTCTGTTGGAAAAAATCACGCGTATACGGTGGCTCGGGTTGTAATGTTATGACTGAACGGTGGCGTATTGGCGATTTGTTTTGTGGTGAACTGTTGTGTTGGTGGTGAGTTTTAGACGACGATGATGTCGATGATGTGGGAGAAGGGGGCGTTGATATTGAGACATTAACGGAAATCTCTGATTCCGATAGGGGACTACTACTCGCTGTGTGAGTGGAGAGAGAATCACCAGCCGTTGTTGTGTTGTTATTGTTGTTGTTGCCTGAATTGAACGGGGGGTTTGCATGATGGTGCTGAGGTTGTGTAGACGTTAGTGAGTTAGGTTTGGGGGCTATGGGAGGCAGAGGGGCTTTACGCACGGGTTTTGTTGTTGTGGCTGTCGTTGGCTGCTGCTGTTGCTGCTTATGACGTTGTTGTAAAGAATGCTCTTGCAATTGCACATTTAAACGCTGGCGTTGTTGTTGTTGCTGCTGCTGTTGACTATTCAAATTGAGCGTTGTGGGTCTGGCTCTGGGTTGAGGTGTATTAACAGCAGCACCAGCAGCTGGCGTCGTCTCACCAATACAACTGTTGCTCTCTATGCATCCATTATTGCCATTGTTGTTGCTGTTGTTGTTCAACTCTTTGTGTGGTGAACTGACGGAGGTCTGGTGCTCTTGCTCTCGTTTTTGTATGACTGGGGTTTTTGTTGTTGGCATATCATTTAATTTCATTTCGTTGATAGCGTCGTCACCATCCAATGCCGTAGCAGCAACACCACCTGTCGTCGCCGTTTCCAAGTATTCTACGCCAGATATGGTTATCTGTTTGTTGAGTGGATGACGCCGAGCTGGATAATTACTGTTATCAACTGGCAGGGAAACGTTTCTCTGCAGCAGTGGTGAATTTGGCTTATTGGGAGGTGGTTGTAGTGGTGCTGGTCTAATGGGTTTCAGTGGTGGCTTCAATGGTGGCTTTTGTTGCACAATGGGCTTTTGCTGCAGCGGAGGTTTGACATTGACCGTTGTTGGTGTTGGTGCTGCTGTCGGTGTTGGTGTTGTAGTTGTTGATGCAGTGCCGACGTTATTGTATTGCAGATTGCCGTTATTTGAATTTGTATTTGGCGGATGTAGAACTTTGGCAGGATAACTTTGAACTGGTATTGGATTCAGCTCCAATTCATTTCTCAACATTCGAATGCACTGCTCACGCTGATGGCAATTCTCGTTGACACACTGGGTCACAATATTATCGGGTATCGTTGGAAATTCTTGTTTCATCTCATGAAACAAGTGCATTATAGTTATATTTGTACAATTGCACGTGGATTTCTTGCCAGTTGTGGGAGAGTGGGCATTACAGGTATTTGCAATGGCTGCTGCTAATGAATCGTCTCCGTTGCTGTTGGCGTGGTTGTTGTTGTTGTTGCGGCTGCTATTGGTTTCACACGTATTATTATTGGTGTTGTTACAGTTGTTGTCGTTGTTATTGTTGTGATTGATAGAGTTATTGTTGTTTGGATTTTTTAGAAAATTCCCTGGCGGCTTTGGTGGTTTAGCCGCCATTTTTGGCCATCATTTAACAAAATCACAAACCTAAAATGACGAGAAAGAAAATGTGATTGATTAGTAAAGGGAATGGGGAAAAGTAAAGAAAATAACATAAAATATCCAATATTTAAATAAAAATTTATTTTTTAAATTTGTCATAAAAATAAGAAGAAAAAAACAATTACAAAATGAATTGTAAAATAATATTTTTTACATATATATGCCTCATTTAACTGTAGAGCAGGTTTTCTAGAATTTGCTATAAGTGAAATTAATGAATGGTATAAGTAAACTTGTTCACATCTGTTCAATCCATTTTCTCACAAGATTTGAAAGGTTCCAAGCATTAAGTATTTTTCACAGGAAGTATCAGAGAAGTGCTAAGGTGAGAGACAAGAATTAAACTGAAATCTACCACCATAAAGTACAAAATAATTTAAATTATAGATGTCACTCGTTTTATCTAACAAAAATTATGATTTCGTTGCAGAACTTTGATTTCTGGATAGTTAAAATATCAAATTTTTAAAGTACCACCTTCGGTGTCAGAAAAGTCTCTAAAACTATGCACAAATAAAATTCTAAGAACAATAATAAAACTAACATAAAGATGGCGCTTCTTATATCATATTATTAAAAAGAAAGAAACTTTATCAGGATTGAAAACATTCTAAGATACAATTCTTAAAAAAACAACATATTTTAACCTACAGGGTTAGATGAAAAAACTGCAACCAACTTCAGACTGCTGTCATTTCTAAGCCACTCGTCCGACAGCTGTTAAAATTATTTCAGTGACAACTCATTATATTGTTTACAAGCGTACAAAAGCATATTGGTGAGAATTTCCCAGAAAAAAAGTTATTGTGATGGAATTCAAGCGTAATAGTGTGATTTCTTTATATTTGGCAGGGAAACCACAAGTGGCTATCGTTAGAGCACTCCAGCATTTAAATGTGAATAAATCTTTTGTGTCTCGTGCCATCGCTAGTTACCGTGACACTGGTAGCTTAGCCCGACGTCAAGGAAGTGGACGGAAGAAAACACCAACATCAGCAAATTCCAAATAGTGCAAGAACTTACACCGCAACAGAAAGAAAATAGACTTGCTTCGCTTGGCCGAAAGTGGTGAACTGTCGAACTTGGTTTTCTCCGATGAGAAAACATTCGTTGTCCAGCAGTTTGTAAACAAACAAAATGATCGTGTTTACTTTCCAAAGAGGTCAGCAGAAAATTTACACCTTCGGTCATAGTGATGGTGTGGGCCGCCATAACAGCCGCTCGTATTAATCGACCGGGCATCAAAGTAAATGCCGAATATTATCGCGAAACGGCTGTATTAAAGCCTTAGGCACGCAAAAAATTTAGCCGCAAACCTTGGACATTCAAAAAGGACTCAGCACGCGCCACCCAAGAATGGTTAAAAAATGGAACACTAACAACAATCCGTTGGACTATTGTGTCTGGAGTATTTTGGAAAGCAAGGTTAGCACTAAAAAATACCAAAGTATCGATCAACTCAAGCAAACGCCTCGCCGGGAATGGGCCAAAATGCCGCAGAGCAACATTCGGGCAGCGTGTGACGGTTTCATTGGCCTTTTGAAAGCCATAATTCGTGCCAAAGGTGACGAATTCGAACAAATCTAAACTTATTCTAAGATTTGATGCTATTTCCGACAACTTTTGCTTTCATTCCAAAAATTTTAAAAAATGTAAAATTTATGGCTTTTGACGTTGTTGCAGGTGTTTGCAGCGTAGACGGCGCTCCTTAAATTCTATTTTACAATATCATGAATATTTACAAAGATTTATGACCTTCTGGGATCATTTCATCTCATTCCTCTTTCCAAAATCCTAAGATCAAGGATCTTCGCGCGATTTCAATAAAGGTATTGATATTCATTATACAAACATTTCTCAGTACTTCTGAACATTTCTGAACAGTACTCATTGAACATTTTACTGCCTGCGGTTAAGATCTTCAAATCTTGCATAGGGTTCATAAATAATACTTAGAAGATAGATAAGACAGTAAAGTTTCATAAAAACTCTTTAAATTTTATAACACCTAACAACGAGCGCCATCTAAGTTTTTGTTTTGCTTATTTACGAATTGAATGTAGTGTATGTTTTCTGCAAAAATGTAAAAGATCTGGTCTCAAAACTTTGAGTCAACAGTGTGTCTAAAAGTATGTAATTAAATTTTCAAAAAAAAAAAAAAAAACTGAAATATAGATGGCACTCGTTATGAAATGTCAATAATTTCTATAAGATTTTACATCGATCTTCCAAAATAGAACACATGTAATCTATCTACTTCGCGTTATTACTGAATCCCATACAACTTTTTCAGATCTTAGCTGCAATTAATCAATCAGTCAAACAATTAGACAGTCAGTAAATTATTCAATCGTCCAGACAATCAATTAATCAGTCGTTGAGGTATTTTTATAAACCTATTTTAATTTGAAATGTCGAAAAGCAAATATTTTTCCCAATCATCCTCACTAAAGGGTTTTTCAAAGATGCCTTGTTCCAGATTTTCATAATAGCAGCTATTTTGCAATTTCAATATGAATTTATTTATTAATTCTTAATACAAATCCACCACTCAATAAAATATATTCTCAGCCCCTTTCATATTTTCACTTCACTTGAGATTCGTGTTCAATCATCCACAGTTGTTCTAAAGCATATGTTGCTCCTCTCTCTCTCTCTCTCTCTCTCTCCCTCTCTGACAAATAAATAAAGCACAAAAACTTCCGGTTAAGCAAAAACAAACAAAAAAATCGCCGCTTAACAAAGGAACTGCGAAATTCGTACAGGGAACCACCAATCGAAAATAGTCAAGATATTGAATGAAAGGTAGAAAAAAACATATAAATACCTTTTGTTTTGTTGTAATACCTGTGTTGCTGTTTGTTTTTGCTTTTTCTTATAATTGAATTAAGAATGGTGAAATACGCATACATATACCTTAATTTCCACCTCAAAACTAGCCTCCTCTCTATCTCTCCACGAGCCCAAAACATTATCAACAATAAAACAAACTGTTATCTGCGAAGCCATACTGAAGGAAAACACACATACACAAACAACAACAAAATATTAAGAAATATTGAACAAATAAATGCCAACAACACCTACTATACATATAGGTCGTATACAATAGAACAAAAGCAAGATCACCCACCCAGCCTGCAATGGGAATGGACAAACAAAAATGGGAGAGGAGCAAGACAAATGGCAACCCAACAAAACAACACGGCAAATTATTTCATTTTCCAGAATTAGAGCAAAATGCTAATTTGTTTTTCTGCAAAAATGAGGCAAATAACAACAACATCACAGCAACAACAAAAATAGAACATTTTTGCTAACGTCAGTAAAAATTGAATTGATCTGCTACTTTTGCACTGTGACTACCGGTCTTTCACACCGTCGTCTGCATTTCCCACGGGCGGGTGGGCAGACGGACAAACGAACGGACAGAGGGACTGACCCGCCTCCCTGTCTGCCGTCTGGTGTTTGGTCTGTCATATTTTTGCTAAAGACCATCCATCTTTTCTTGCATACGTCGTACGTAGATAGGTAGGTAGGTGGTGGATAGATGGCTAGATAGGCGGCAGATAGGTAAGTAAGTGTGTACACAAAATACAATTCGAAATGAAATGAAAATAAAAATAAAAAGAAATTGAAGGAGAGCAAACAAATAAAAGCACTCACACTTGCACACACCCGCAGAGAAATAGTATAGCATAAACAAATGACAACTGAATTTAAAAATATTTATGACACCACAACAGCCAACAACTAAATATCAACACCCTCTCATCATCATCCTCATCATCGCCACACAAACAATTGCAAAGATTATTATCGAAAAACAAAAAAAAAAAAAAAAACATATTAACAAATTAGATACGATAATATTATACTATTTGGGATAACATAATTATGAACTTCTAGGCAGAGGGGAGCAATGGGTGAGCTTGAACCGAATAACTAGGGAGTGGGTACTTAAAATACAAGCTTGAATGAAAAAAAAAACACAAACGTATATATTGGAATGGAGCAAGGGTTAAAATTAGCCTCGCATACCACTAAAAAAATTGGTTGTGGCACCATTGTACAAGGATAACTAAATTGCCCTTCCGTAAACTTCAAAACGAAGGATTCTGAAAACTTTTTGGAACAACTTGAATATAAACCAACAAATTGTGCGCTATATAACAGCACCCCCAAATGTTTGGTAGTTTTTGTGATATTTTTGGGTGTATCAATTATTAGATGACTAATCCGATATGTATAATTTCTGAACTTCTGTGATTTATCGATTTCCCATAAAATTGAATTACAAGTAGGGTCGGATAGAACTATTTCCATGTCAAAAATGTGCTCCTAATTATACCCTTAAATAACTTACAAGAGAGCACAATGACACTATAATATAAATGGCGCTATTGTACAATATTAATGATTTGAAGAAGTTTGAAATCTTTTTAGATATAGAGGGCTTTAGCATGTTTTCTAAGACGAAAACCTTCGGATAGGACATCAGAGTGTGGCTTTTATAAAAATACCATCAAAATGTGTTCTATATTGAGAATTCCCTAAGGGATTATTTTGAGATTTGGTTAAAAAAAGACTTTAAAACATTGTAGTATAAAAAATGATATTGCCAAGAAGCTATTACGGAACAAGTGATAAAATTAAAATATAGATGACGTTCCACATCTATAAACAATATTTGGCTTAATAAAGACAATCGGATCCCATAAAATTGCATTAAAAATAGTATCAGATAGAACAACTTCTATGTCATAGTATACCCTTAAATCACTACGAAGAAAATATAATGATATTCAAATATAGATGGCGATTCTTATTAAACCTTTACTATAAATAATACCAATGACTTGATAAAGTTAAGAAAATTGTTAACATAAAGAGGGCCTTCAGGAGATTTCCTAAAATGAATATCTTCGGAGAATTTAAATATATGGAGAATTTATTCCGAAGGCCTCCTGCGGTCCGAAGATCTC